AATATGGCACACAACGCAAGCTAGGGGGCCCGGGTACCGAAACTAGTGAAGTGCGTTACACTAGAGGTCCCCAAAGCAATGCACCAAAGGCAAAACCAACCCCAAACAGACCCTAGGCAGGTCTGAAACAGTGGGAAAATGGCCTAAAATGATGGCTCGGAATGCAACGAAATGGAGCTCATTCAATGGTCCGAAAACAAAGCATACAAGCTCGACTCTCAAACGCATTTAAAGAGTACAAAACATGGCAATATGGAATTAACATAGGCTCTGAAATGTGATGCAAAACGACCCCAGAGCATGAAAATACCTCAGCACATGCATGCAATGGACCTCAAACCTCAAAGTTAAGCATGGGTATTGAACTACAAGCATGCAAAACAAATATCATTCAAACATGAGACCCAAAAACAGAGCTAGGGCAGTCCAAAATAAGCACATTATCAGTTTAAGACATGGCCAAAATGTGCTAAAATCAAGGTCCAACAAAGCATGCAAAGAAAGCTAGTGAACCATGAGTTGTTCTACAATTATATGAAGTATATGAGGGCTCACCAAACCAGCCAAAAAAAGATGTATGCCATGTCAAAATATGCCCAAATAACCACTGAAACTCAGTCAATGCGTGCAAAAATGATGGGCTCCTTTGAAAGGCCAATAAGAGGGTTACTCTACACATACGTGATGGACATCAATGATGGCAAAACCACCTTTGGAAATAGGTTATGAAAGACCTAAAACTCACCAAAAAGGCCCTGAAATCAACCTAGGAAGCATGCAAATGAAAGACCCTTTGAAAGGCCTTGCGTGGGATTGTTCTACACATGCATCATAGACATAAAATATGGCCAAAGGGGCTCTGGACAGAGTCAAGGCAGACCTTAAAACTCACAAAATAGGGCCTGAAATGTGACTTCACGACATGCAAGATAGAACCCCTTTGGAAGGCCAACAATGCTAGTAAAGAGGACAAGGGGTGAGAGGGTCACTCCTTTCTGATTTTGAAGCTCAAAAACACATATTGGCCACTGAAAATCCACTAGATTTCAGTGGCCAAAATGCCAAACCAAGGCCAATGCAAATGCTCTAATGCATAGCCCTAAACATGAGGAAATGGAGCATACAAAGGGGAAGATGACCCCAAACAGAAAAAAGTTCTTAAACAAACATGTTTAGAAGATCAAAAAAAGAATTTTTTCAGTTTATGTCAAAGTCCAAAAATTCTCACAAATAAGGCTAAACTATGGAGCAAAATAATGCAAAAATGGGGGAAATAGAGGCTTACCCTTGTAAAGCCGACCCTCAATAACTTCTGGACCAAAAATGTGACTCCTCAAGCTCTGCAAATGACCTCCAAGATGCTTGAATGGATGGTGGAGGTGGTAGGCTATGAGGTGTAGTGTAAAATGGCCAAGAATAATGGGGTTTTGATGCTTGGAAGAGAGAGATATTGAGGGAAGTGTATGTATGCTCTAACCAAATGGGTTCAACCCTAGCAATGGAAGAGGGCCCTTTCCTTTATAGAGGAGAAGGTCTAAAGCTTCTCCAAGAAGCTTCAAAGCTAGCTTAAACATCCTCCATACACGTGTATGGAGGATGCATTCTGAGGCTTCCAGCTGGCACAGCTGGCTTCAACTCAATGAGACAAAAAAGGAGAAAGCTGGTCGGCCGACCAGTTCAAGTGGTCGGCCGACCACTTGCCCTGGTTGGCCGACCAGGTCAAAAGGTTCAAGTGGTCGGCCAGCTACTTTTTGTGATCGGCCAGCCAGGTCAAAAAAGTCACTTTCAAAAAGGTGGTCGGCCTACCCATATTGGTGGCCTCCCAGGTGAGCACAACACAATGGTGGTATGAAAACCCAGAAATTGTGGCTCAAAAGTGAGAAAAACCAGCTTTTTGTTAAAAAAATCGGTTGGAGGTGAGAGAAAAAGAGAAAGCTGGTTTCCAAGGGGAAAAGGTGGCCTCCCACCATACTACCACCTCTCTAGCAATGAAAATAGGGTCCCTACCAAAAATGGACCAAGACGGATTTAAAACAAAGGTTCGGGGGCCAAAACGCGCAGTCTAGGGCCCCAAAAATTGGCTGTTAGGTACCGGAAGTGGCGTGCGACCACGAAGGTGGTCTCTCGGGCCACAGCGTCCCTCAAAAGAGAGGAAACAAGGTGTGTGCCAAAAACCGGAGCAAACGGAGGTAGTTAAGCGGTCCCGAATCGAGGCACACGACCGACGATTCTAAAAACCGGAAACTGGTCTCCAAATTGGAAAAGTGGCCTACGACCACAAAATGTAGCCTACGGCCACTGAGAGATGGTCTACGAGACCTCTCCCTCCCTTCGGGAAGAGAAAATAGAACCTGGTTCGCAAATTGAGGCGAAGCACAAAAAGTCCCGAAGTCTAGAGGCAAGGCTCTCAGCCGATACTCTGAAACCTCAGAACGAGCACAATATGCATCATCACCGAGCACTCAATCGGTGACGTCTGAGTCTTAAGGTCAGTCAAAAATGGGGTGTCTACATTGTTCAATGGCGAGATTGGTGGAGCAGTCCCCTATCTGGTTGAACGTCTCCCAATAACGACTGTTGTAGGACCTTAATGTTTCTTTGTCACTACAGGAAATGAGAGATTTAACGGCGTTTAATTAACGACGTTTTATTAAACGTCACGTTTTTTAATTTTTAACGGCGTTTTTATAATCACCGTATATTTTTTTTAACCAAAACGGCACCGTTTTGTAATGGAAGGCGTTTAGAAACGCCTCCGAATGCGGTGCATACACGCGCCCCTTTTGAAACCCTTATTCATGAATCTGTGCCCTTTCTCTCTCTTATAGCCACACATCTCTCTTATCTTATACGCACACATATCTCTCTCTCTCAGCGACGAAGAAGACGAAGGAGAGTACTCTAGGAAGAAACTTCATCTCTCGAAAGATCAATCGGCTGTTGGCGAGATTGGTGGGGCAGTCCCCTATCTGGTTGAACGTCTCCCAATAACGACTGTTGTAGGACCTTAATGTTTCTTTGTTGCCCATGTCTATGGAGAGTAGCTGATCAATCTCCACTGGCGTCTTGGTGTTCGTTCTGAATCTCGTCGCGAACGCCTCCGCTAATTGCTCCCAGGAGGCTATGCTGCCTTCTGGTAGCCTTTCGAACCAGGTTAAACCTAGGTCGCCAAGGCTAGATGGGAATAGAATGCACATCAAAGCTTCGTTCCGCCAGTATACTGCCATAACCTGGCGAAAGTGGCTTAGGTGCATGTAAGGGTCTGTCTTCCCTTCGTACGTGGTAAATTTAGGCTGGATGAAGCCTGAGGGTAATGGTGCGTTCTCAATCGCCAGAATGAACGGCGAGCTATGTAGTCTTGCCAATGCTTTATCTGTTGGTTCGTAGGCAAGGTGCGGTATTGGCATTCCAACCTCGACGCTTCCATGCGTCCGAGGAGCTAACCGCTGAAGGGCTGAAACTTTGTGTGGGTCGCGTGCCCTGGCATCCTCCTTCTGTCGCGCCATTTCTTCAAGTACAGTCCGTAAGTCAGAAGATCTAGGCAACTCCGTTTGCCTGGATGATGTCTGGTGCGTGTGTGAGGGCCGATAGGTACTTCCCTCAGTGTAAGACCTCAATGATCTCGTTCTCTCAGACCTGGAGTGACGAGTTCTAGAAGTCCTTGATTGAGTGTCGCCCGTCCTAAGGCTTCTACTCTCTGCTTACGATGGCGTGGTATGCCTACCGCGATCTTCAGAGTGGCGAGGAGGTGTATTGCCTTTGCGCCCCTCTCCCGTCGCTACCTCTTTTCCCTTGATCTGGCGCTTCATTGCCTCTATATCCGCCGCCATCTTTCTTATTAATTCATCTCGCTCTTTTACACGATCCTCTAGAGCTTGAGGGTCGATTCTTCGCCTTCGCCTTTCAGGACTTTGTAAGCAAGAGCGACGAGGGCTGTTGTTCCGCCTCCCCCTTGCATCCCTCCGGGGATTCTGTCGCTGGGGCTCTAAGTCCGCCGTGGGAGGGATAGAGGGCAATCCTTTGCGCCTCCCACCCCCTTCTGGGGTTTGTCCATCAATGGCGGACTGCGGCAAATCTTCGTTGTGCGCCATTTAATCAGCGAGGGAAACTTGATCAATAGGTTTTGTTCTTTGTCTAGTATTCCCACAGACAGCGCCAATTGTACGGGAAAGAAATAAACCTTCGCGTATAATCCTGTTAATCAAGTTCGTGCTCCTCCGTACGACGTCGCTTTACTCCCTGAAAACACAAACGTGAGCTAGCCGGCGGGTGTGTGCCGGATACCTCTCCGATGCCTAAGTCAGCAAAAATAGACAAATAGACAAAGCTCTGTGTATTCGAGAATCAAAGTTGTGTTACCTCTCCATAGGCGATGTCGTGAGCTTTTATAGGTTCCGTATGGCACAATCCTAGTAGGACTCTTACTCCTTTTTGTAGAATCCTCCTAGGAATCACATTCCTGAAAGATAATGCTTATCCTTCAACACCCCCTCACTTCTTAAACCAAGTGAGATGATTTTACCATGGTCGGATCCCAATACAACCGAGGTAAGCATGGCTATGCTGAGCCGCAGAGTAGACCGAACTAAAGCCAGTTCAGTTTCTTCCATTCAGTACTCTTACCTCGGCTTCTCCTCTACAAACCATGGTGTGTTTGGACTGAGTCAAGAAATGGCAAGGTTTTGACCGAGCTAACCGCAACATGCCACGACCGGGCTAATTCTGAGTGTGGTGACCGAGCTATCCTCAAATCTCTCCCAGACCGAGATAACAATAAGCCTCTATGGACCGGGATAACAATAGGGCTTTCTAGGACCGGGCTAATTTCAGGCCCCTTTCATCCGGCTCTTCTTACCGTGCCTAAAGAACGGCCCATTACCCAGCTCGGCCTAATTTACATATAAATTACCCTCTCAGTATTCAAACCTAGCGCTCTGATACCAATTTGTAATGTCCTGCTATATCTTACACAAATACACCACAATAAAGCATAGCAAAAACCCAAAAATCATCTTTCTTATTGAACTAAGATTTAAGAAATTACAATTTCAAGTTTACATTTCTAAGATATTTTGAATCTATCTCCAAGTTCAATGAACTAGATGATATTACAAAAAAGAAAGGCCAGAAAGGCATACAAAACAATGACAAAATAACTTCAAAAGTCTTGATACAAAACTCTAAGTCTTGGCATCAAGCTATCAATCCCAATTGAGCAACCGCTTACTTCAAGTCATCACAGTGGTGGTACGTCATCATATCCTGAAAGTTTAAATAAGGTTAAGCTATATACCCAGTACAGTAGGAGTACATTTAACCAAGTATTTAATAATTTTAATAAATCCATGGCACCATCATAACCAACATCACATTATTAGTTAAAAAGAACACGTAGTCAATTAGGCACTTCAATTCCAAAATGCTACAGAAATCACATTCCATTTCATACCAAATCACAATCCGTATTAGAAAAAGCAATAAGCCATGAGTGGGCACCCAAAATCACATTCCATTTCATACCAAATCACATTCCATTTCATACCAAGTAAGAGTCCAAAACTTCACACAAATCATTTTCATTCAAAACCATTCCCATATTTACAGACTATTATACAACAGGACGTGGGCACCCAAAATCATGCGTTTTTCCACTTTTCTTTTCTCTCTTCCTCTCTCTCACCCTAAGTTTGAACCCTAAGTTTTCACTCCAAAATACTCCTCATTCCCCTAAGATCCAACCTAAATCACTTGCAAGGAGTGGAGTACAAGTGGAGATCCTCCATCTTACTGATTAGATTCTGTTTTTACGAAAGATTCTCTTAAAAGCTTGGTTTTTTGCTCATAAATTGAGGTAGGGTTGCATTTAATCTAGTAGTTCTTTGTTTTGGAAATGTATCTATGGTATTATTGTGACTTGAAATCTAATTTGATGATTGGGTTGGATAAACTCTTATTTTTTACAAAGGGAACATATTACTCAACTTTTATTTTTAAAATAATAAAAAAAAAAATCAATCTTTTCTCAAAATGTGAATGTAAATGTTAAGGAGATACTTATATATGAAAATGGAGAGAAAGCCCCAAATTTGATAAAACCCTAGTTTTCAAATTGAGAAAAAAATGGTATTAAGATTGGAATTTTCTTGAATTCTTGAGATGTTGTGAATAATTAAGAGATAAAATATAGGAACAATGTTGTGGAATTGAAATTGAGACTTAGGAATTGATTCTTCTTGAATGTTATGTGTGTATTTTATCTCATACAATGTGAATACTTGTTGATTGAATGAAAGTTTGGTAAATTGACTATGAGTCTGGGTTAAGAGTTGATTTTGATGTTGTTGAATTGTGTTGGTATCCGCTCGGTGAGTCAATGTGCCCAATTACTTTGTCTTGAGCTTATCGCTGAACAAATGTGAGAAAATATTTTTGGGTGTCCATTGGTCTTGCCTAATTGTAGTCGGTAAAAGTGAAAAAAAATGATGATTTTGGATGCCCACATTCTGCCATATAATAGTCGGTAAATGTAGGGATGGTTTTGAATGAAAATGATTTATGTGAAAATTATACGGCAAGACGTGGGCACTAAAAATCATCCGTTTTTCCATTTTTATTGACTACAATACGGTAGGACCGGTGGACACCTAAAACATTTTCCCACATTCGTTCGGCAATAAGCTCAAGACAGGACAATTAGGCACCTTGACTCACCATACAGATACCAACACAATTCAACAACATCAAAATCGACTCTTAACCCGGACTCATGATCAATTTACCAAACTTTCATTCAATCAACAAATATTCACATTGTATGAGATGAAATACACACATAACATTCAAGAAGAATCAATTTCCAAGTCTCAATTTCAATACCACAGCATTGTTCATATATTTTATCTCATCATTATTCACAACATCTCAAGATATCAAGAAAATTCCAATCTTAATACCATTTTTTTCTCAATTTGAAAACTAAGGTTTTTATCAAATTTGGGAAGATGGTGTATATTAGAATTTCCCCTTAAAAAAATCGAATTTTATCTAGTACCAATCAGTAACGAAGCCAGGATTTTGGTTCAGATGGGGCACCATTGAATTGAAATCATAACAAAAATCATAATTTAACTTAATTTCTATTTGATGGTAAGCATAAAAATTAGTGCGATGCAAAAGTTATATTTAAATATAATGTATGATGATCATCACGGTCTAAAAAATAATTACATATACCCTCATAAAATATGAAAAAAAAAATTATATTAAGATGCACACACATAAAGAGATATGGTGAGGATAGAGAAAGAAATGAGAAAAAGATGAATAAATAATATACAAAGGCTATTATATATTTCTTGTTTTTTTCACTGTTTTGAATAATTGAATTGCATGGTAATAAATTATCAGTTGTCATTAATTGTGAAATAATTATATGTCGTATAAGAGGTAATATTAAACAGTAACAAAATATCAGTGATATATAACATTTCTCTACTATAATATTTATAAGAATTTTTTTTAGCATAATTAAGCATTTAAAGTGACAAATTAAACATTTTTTTATAAAAAAATAAAGAAAGAAAGAAAATATTGATATAAAAATTTCAAGATATTATTTAAAAAGATTAAATTAAAATATATATTTTTATTAGAGACAAAAGAATAATTTTTCAAAAGTTGAGAGGGCACATGACCCCTCTAGACCTCGCGTGCCTCCGTCCCTGGTACCAATACTGATACTAAAACTCCCATTTCAAGACTTCAACGCTTCAACGCTTATAAACGCCAACAAACATGGTGAACAGAGACCCTACATATAATTTAGATAACACATTTAAAATTGGAGTAATTTGGTTCAAATTGAAAGTGTTAAAGATAAAATTGATTAAAATTAAACTTGAATAATCAACTGACACAAAACATATATAAAAAAGTAAAGAACACCGGAACATGGATATGAAAAGAGTACCCAAGTCGGAACACAGCACCAGGATCTGTAAAATAGACAATTTTGGATATCGGGTCAACATCCAAAGCATCAAGAAAGGCAAAGATCCTTCGACACCGGTGGCAAGTTGTGTTGCTAGTCCTCCACCAGCTCCGACCACCAATAAGCCAAAGTAAGGGTCAACGATGTAGAGCTCACTAGTCATATCGTTGAAACCCAGGCCTAATGGCCTTCCACATATTGATTCTAAGTTCTGGTCATTTGTGCTATCACACAATTCCTTTGTCCTGAGAACAACAGTCATGAGTGCAATAAATAGTCAGAAATACATTGTACTTCTAATGGCCTCTGTGGAGCTTTTGCAACAATAATTTACTGACACAAAAAGATTGCATATTTGTGATAGCGTAAGCATCCCAACACATTGGAATAACTTAGCCTGCGTTTGGTTGTGTTTTGTAAATGTGATTTGAGAGTATAAGTTTTATTTTGAGTTTGTGTGTTGTAGAATTATGATTTGAGTGTAGAAAATTTGTTTGGTAAAGAGTTTTGAAAATAGTTTTGGAAAAGAGGTTTGATTTGAGTAGGGAATTGTTGATGTGACATTTAATATGTGATATAAAAATTTACAACTCATAACTAAACATACAACTCAAAATTATTTTAAAACACATAAAAAATTTTAAAAAATTCAGAAAATATTTTTCCCGAGTATGTAAATCAATTGGAAAAAAAAATTCTGGAATTCAGAGGACATCCGGGTGGACGTCCCCAAGGACATCCGGGTGGACCCAAAAAAAAAAAAAAAAATTTGGAATTCAAAGGACATCCGGGTGGTCTTTCGGGTGGACTTCCTCAGGCAAAATTTTGACAAAAATGCGGCCTGTGCATCAGAGTTCTCTGCAGAGAGTGTGGAAAATTGATTTCAAAACCATAACTAAACATCATACTCAAACACACGTGTAGAAAATTGATTACAAATCACAACCAAACAGAGCCTTAATTTTTCTCTCTAGTAGCGTAAATTTTTATATGAGTTTGTGGTCAATTATTTCACATAGGGTTTGAACCATCACAAACAATATCGTCGCCCAAAAAAATGTGCAACAATTTTTGTAATTGCGAAAAAGCGGTTATTACGATGGAAAAAAGTGCCATCACTAATATTCTCAGCACAAAATATCATTTTTCTAGTAGTGAGTACATGGTACTTTTAGGGCCGGTCATGAGTTTTTAAGAGCCTAAGGCAAAATAAAAACGGAAGCTTATATTCAAAAAGAAATAAAATCACCTTATTTTGTATCACTACCATCGATTGATACCAAAATAGATATCAAAATGTATTTATACAAAAAAAAAAAAAAGTTACCAAAATTAGGAAAACTTTAATCAATTAAAATGTATTGGATATGTGTTGAATTAATTGTTGTTTATTGAATATGTTGTTTATGAATGTGGTTGAATTGTTTATTAAATATGTTGTGTATGAATGTGATTGTGATTGAGATTGAATTAATTATTTATTCCACTAAAATCTAATAAACAAGAAAAGCAAAAAAAAATTAGGACAAATTTATTTATTCCACTAAAATCTAATAAAGAAAGAAAATAAAAATAAAAAAAAATTAGGGGCCCTATTTTGGACCACTAACATTTTGTATGTGTATGTAGTGTTTCTCATTCCAGAGCGACCAACATTTTATATATATTTTAATTTCAATTGGGTCAAACCATACTTATAAACAAATATGGGCTTAACATAATATTTTTGGGTCCTTTAGATTGGTCTTAAAACAACAAAGATAATTTGGGCCTATTTATATGTGTAATATATTATAATACTTTTCTAAATTTCAAGACCCTATTTTAGGCTAATTTTTTGTGACATAAGGCACAAGCCTCAATAGCCTTATCCCAAGGCCGGTTCTGGGTACTTTTAATATACAATAAGCATCCGTAAGCCAATGTTAAAATATTAATTTTCCTTCTATTAGGCACGCGACTTTGTTCCATTTTTCCAAATCCTTTCCTCACGCACAACAAGAAAAATTAGGACCGAGAATCCAGTGCATAAGATGCGAGATAATAAATCAGAAGAGGTATTTTCCAAGTAATTAAAAGATTACCTGTGTGGTGATGTGGTAGCAAATTCAACAAAACCAATGTTTGGACCTCCATACTTGAGAATTCTACCATCAGCCACACCAGTGTAAGGTCCTTCTCCCTTCAAGGCAAAAGCAAGAGACTCAGGTCCAGTGGCTGATGGAAGTTGGAGCCGGTAAAAAAAGGATGGGAATTCATTTGAAAGAACAATATGAAGGAATGAGACGCAAACTATGAAAAGTGAAAGCATGGTGGATATGATTGGTGCAAAGCTTGATTTGGCTTCCATGTTTTGAGTCAATGATCATATCACCAAATGAATCAAGCTAGCATTTATAGTTTACAGAGAGGAAGGAAGATAGAAAACTAGATGTATACATATATACCACTGAATTTGTGTTTGGATGAAAAAAATTATTATAAGAAAAAAGGTATCATATTTTATTTATCTTTTGGCTTTTTCTTTTTTTTTTTTTTTCTTTTGTGTGTGTGTGTGTGTGTTAGACACGCAGTCTAGCATTATTTTATGGCCCAGGCCAACAAAAAGCATGACAAATCTGTCCTTTTTAGACTCCGATAAGCACAAAAGGTGCATGTAAGATGGAAGTTTCATGTGTCCCATAAGTTCATTACTGATTTCTTTTTTCTTCACAAATTTAAAATTCAAATATAGCTCAAAATAACATGATAGCATCACAATTCTTAGCAAATGGAACTTGCAAACACGCACCTACACAATAAGGGTTTACTACAATGAAATGATCATCCATTAACATTTTTTGAAGAATGATCATTTTCTTACCATAGTGAATAATAATTCTACTTATAATATTTTTTTCATTTTATTTTTAGTGAACCAAATGTTAAAATGAATATCTTGACAAAATAATTATTTCATTTCATTCTAATGAACTAAATGAACCATAAATATCAAATTAATTTTGTTTAAAAAAAAACATGGTAAAGTTGCACAATAAATGAATTCTTTTAATTAAAAAAATCAATACCAAACCACAGCATTGTATAGCAAAGGACACTTAAGCCACCAACTTTAGAGATATTATACACTATATCCTATACAAAAATGAAAGGCAGGCCAATTACGCTGAAATTAAGAAATTCCTAAAAAAATTCTTTTTTATAGTCTGGTCTTAAGAGTTAAACCGTAAACAATTGTGTGAGGATCATACCTACTAACCATTCAAGACAATCCTCAAAGTTAATGCATGACGTTTTAAAAAGAAAAAATTATGCTAGTAGTCTCAGTAATTTGTAATTTGTATTAACTTAATTATTATAATTTTTTAAAAATGTTATCAATTTTATATGATTTCAATAGGGGATTTTTTATTTTTTATTTTTTTTAAATCCCACAAAATCAAGTTCCATCTTAAATTTGATTAATTTAAAAAATATGGAAGGCAAGGGTATTTTATCCGGCCCAAAGTACGGCCCCAGAAGGCCTAACCAGGCCCGCTCAATTGACACCCAAAATCGTCCCAACACGCGAAACCATCTCTCTCTCTATCTCTCTCTCTCTGAAACATTAAACCCTAGTAACCGAACCAGTAGAAGCACAGAGAAACCCTAGTCACCCTCTTCACAGGCGGAGAGAGAGAGAGAGAGAGAGAGAGGGAGATGGGGGGAAGCGATAGCGAAGTAGAGAAGTCAGCGCAGAAGGAGAAGGAGAAGAAGAAGTTGTTAGCTCTGGCCCCCATTGCAAAGCCCCTTGCTGGCAAGAAGCTGTCCAAACGCACCTTCAAGCTCGTTCGCCGAGGTATATGTATATGTGTGTATATATATATGTAAATCCAATTTTGATGCAATTCTCTTGATATTTGCGAATAAATAGTTTTTAAGTAAAAAAAAAAAATAGGGAAAATTGCAAATCAGTGGTAGCTTCACAAAATATTTACAAATTTATGGAAAAGTTTATTGCTTTAATTATTATAGTAAGGTTTACCACTGATTTGCAATTTCCCTAAAGGGGGAAAAAATGAAATGAGAAATATTCAAGGTCCTTGTTTAATTTGATGTATTGAATATCAGCACTTTCTTTTTCTTTTTTTTCTTTTTTCTGAAATTACTTGGTGTTTGGTTTTTTAGCTGCAGGACACAAATGCCTGAAGAGAGGAGTTAAGGAGGTTGTTAAAAGTATTCGCCGCGGTCACAAAGGGTCAGTCAATTTAGATTTCCAGTTTTGTGTAGAAATTGTTAATGCTTAGATGTAATGTAATCAGCAAACTTGTTGCTTGCTGCTATCTAAAAAATCGTACTTTCTTAGCTTTTGACCATAATGAAAAAAAGAAAAAAAAAGAAAAAAAAAAAGAAGGTAATTTGAAAAACATGACTGCTAATGTGGATTGCTATTTGGAGATTCAGGGATTGGACCATTTTCTTCATAATTTTCTTTTTGATTTTGTGGGGTCTATTGATGTTGTGGTAGTTTTGTGAGATGGACTTGGGGTTTTATTGTTCTTTATATTTATATATTTTTTGCATTTTTAATGGCTCTTTTTTTTGGTAAAAATAATGACTTTGGGGGCATGGTTACTAGGAAAGGGACAACAAAGGTGAAAGGACATATTTTGGATGGGCAGTAAAAATAGATTAAAATGTTGCCTTGGCAATGGCAATTGGTGAGATATAATGAAAAGTTAAAGGGTAAACATTGTGGGTGGTTAAAGGAGCCAGAGGGCCATGGCAACTAATCAATACGGTTTAAACAATACAAGAGAAAATCTTAGTTTGTTTGGTCCTCGTTATGTTTTATGTTTTTATGTTTTTGTTTAAAAAAATTTATAAAACCTCTGTTATCAGAATCTTACGATTCGCGATTCGATTCGCGATTCGATACGCAATTTTTGCAAAATCGATACGAATCTACGAGTGAAAAAGTTTATTGCTTTAATTATTATAGTAAGGTTTACCACTGATTTGCAATTTCCCTAAAGAAGGGGGAAAAAATGAAATGAGAAATATTCAAGGTCCTTGTTTAATTTGATGTATTGAATATCAGCACTTTCTTTTTCTTTTTTTTCTTTTTTCTGAAATTACTTGGTGTTTGGTTTTTTAGCTGCAGGACACAAATGCCTGAAGAGAGGAGTTAAGGAGGTTGTTAAAAGTATTCGCCGCGGTCACAAAGGGTCAGTCAATTTAGATTTCCAGTTTTGTGTAGAAATTGTTAATGCTTAGATGTAATGTAATCAGCAAACTTGTCTAAAAAATCGTACTTTCTTAGCTTTTGACCATAATGAAAAAAAAAAAAAAAGAAGGTAATTTGAAAAACATGACTGCTAATGTGGATTGCTATTTGGAGACTCAGGGATTGGACCATTTTCTTCATAATTTTCTTTTTGATTTTGGGGGGTCTATTGATGTTGTGGTAGTTTTGTGAGATGGACTTGGGGTTTTATTGTTCTTTATATTTATATATTTTTTGCATTTTTAATGGCTCTTTTTTTTGGTAAAAATAATGACTTTGGGGGCATGGTTACTAGGAAAGGGACAACAAAGGTGAAAGGACATATTTTGGATGGGCAGTAAAAATAGATTAAAATGTTGCCTTGGCAATGGCAATTGGTGAGATATAATGAAAAGTTAAAGGGTAAACATCGTGGGTGGTTAAAGGAGCCAGAGGGCCATGGCAACTAATCAATACGGTTTAAACAATACAAGAGAAAATCTTAGTTTGTTTGGTCCTTGTTATGTTTTATGTTTTTATGTTTTTGTTTAAAAAAATTTATAAAACATAAAATGAAAATGTGCTATGTGGTTGTTTCCATTGTTAAATCTTCCAAGACGAAGGGTGAAAGTCGCAACATGAAAAATGTGTATTGACTTGTTTTAAAAAACAAGTGTAAACACTGATGAACGTCCGTTAAAAACTTGGACCCTTTTTCAGTTTGAATTGTGTTAACGACAAAGAAGGGCACTTCTCTTTCTTTCTTGTTTTTCACACTCAAAACCCCTCTTCCTTTATCTCTTGAACATGGAACTCCAACTTACACTTTTTTTTGTTATTTATAATCCATGTTATCTTTGTAAATGCAGATTATGTGTTATAGCAGGGAACATATCTCCTATCGATGTCATCACTCACGTTCCAATCTTATGTGAAGAGGCTGAAATTCCCTATATATACGTGTCATCAAAAGAAGTAAGTTGGCTTTTCTTTTCCCCATCCGCCCATTTATACCATATGTCTTCTAGTTTCTATTCCCACTCTAAGGATGATAAGCATTTTGTATTCCTTTTTATATATCTTGTTTTCTATCTTCATGTAGTATGGTCTACGGATGAGTTTGGACATTCCATGGAAGAGAAATTGTCCTGCAGTAATGTACTGAGCATTTTGAAACTAGTCTTTTCATTCTTCCCAACATATCCTATTAGTATAATACCATAATCATTTTGGTTTCTTTTAAGATGATGCCATTTTATTATTATTAGGTATGACTATATATTGTCTGTCTTCATTTTAGAGAGTAGGCTATGTATACACTGAAATAAAGCTATTGTCTTTCCACTAGAGGATGAATTTCTCTGATCTGTCTTACATCCAGTTAATCCCATTGGAATCAAACTATATCTACATCATGGTATCTTTGAGGATTTTGGAATTTTGACTGTTTGATATTTTATTTGGATTTGAAGATATAATGCACAAGGACTTGAGTAACCTTTTAAAAAGATTTTAGATAAATTGCATGTATATTATATAATTTACAAGTATAATTTTAATCTGGTTCATCTTAGTGACCTGCTATTTACGTTTTACCTATTGGTATAATGTATATCCTACAAAATGTCAGCATCTAAATGACCGTTTATTTATTTCAATTCATTTATTTTCCTCTCAAGTGATGAAATAATGATATGGTTTGCTTTCTATGCTCGATGATCACTATTTCTGTTTTATTTAGATTGAGAAATTTTTGTTATTCTGTTCATTTTGCAAAGTGCACATGTTTTCACTGTTTGGACTTTAAGAATGATTTTACAAGTGGAATAAAAAAAAAAAAAACCTCATTTTGTCGTACCATTGAAGAATTGAGGGCTAAAATCATAATAAAATCTTTTGCTTTTTGTTCAGGATCTTGCAAATGCCGGAGCCACCAAGAGGCCAACATGCTGTGTACTAGTGCTAACAAAGCCAACCAAGGGGGAACTTACCCAGGAGGAACAAGAAAAGCTTAAGTCAGAATATGATCCAGTTGCATCAGAAGTTTCTGAACTTGCTTCCTCTATGTTTTGAAGAACTACTAAAAGAACTAGCCTTTTATTTCCCATTTACTGATGTACACTGTATTTGGCTGGTATACCCATGTCATATTTATATATGTTTTGAAGCCAAGCAGCAGAAAGTGCAGTTCCTTTTTGTTTTCATTTTTGTGTCTTGGATGATGTGAGTGAAACCTGGCCATTACACAAAAAAGTTAAAAAAATAAAATAATTGTTCTGTTAGAGTTCCTCTCAGGTGGGGTTTTTGTTTTGCCACATCCCTATTCTCAATTCTCAACCCCCAACATAGGCATATGAAGGACAGCCATCTATCGACAATGCTTGCTTCGAATCAAAATTTGTTTTCTCGTTTTGGCCAAAGTTTTTGGATCCCATTTATGTACTTATAAAACCAGGGCTTCTGGAGGATCACTGGTTGTCTATCGGTAATGCTGAAGATCATTTATGTAAAATCAGGAGGATCACTGGTTGTCAATTCCCATCAACATCCCCTACAGTCATCAAAGAAACTGATGTATGTATAAAATCTATCTAAAGATCTTATTTCATAACTATACAAATTTCTCACAGATTAAATAATTTCCCCATTCTATATATTACATTTTGTATACAAATTCCTTTTAAACTGTGGCATTGCAAGAAATTGTTAAAGGAGTTGCCCCGATCATAATGACAACAACAGCAATAAAGAGTATTCCAGTGTGCTGCAAAATGGGATTTCTAGCAAGGAAATCATTTTTGAGATGACTGAGTCCTGAGCAAAAAAATGCCGAGGCCGCCAATGGCCAAAGTTAGAATTAAAGGAAGTGCAATCGATTCAACATCTGTTGTTCTGCTCGTCACATCTGTTCTTTCTTCAAGCGACCTCTCTGGCCGGTACTCATGTAAAAGGTTGCTCAGATTGTCTAATTGATGCATGATTTGACGCTGACCCCTTGCAACAAGTAATACCTGCTCAGGAAATGGCTAAGCAATCAGAAGTCCAAGCGGTTGTGGCATTGTGGTAAAGCCTTGGGGTTTAAGCCCCAAGGTCACAAGTTCAATTTCTCCCCTTGGGCCAATCTCCTGGGCGAAGCACTGTTGGTTAGGAGGTTGGCCCTCAAGGATGCCTAATCAGCTACTTGGTGTGGGTTTAATACTCCCCCGCTGTGCGAGTCCTGACTTAATCGGAGCTTGCCTTGGGAGGTCGGGACAAGCTTCCAGGTTATAGTCTCTTACTCGGAACGGACAACAGGATACCCTGGTGATTTCCTCAAGGGGCGCTGCCTTGGACCTGCGGGAGAGTGTGAGGATTTTCCTGTAACCAAAAAAAAAAAAAAAAGGTTTACTTTCTTGTTTTTATTTTTCATATTTTCAAACAAAAATATTGAAAAGTTAAAAAACAACAATCATTTTTTAAATTTCTTTCATCTTTGGGCAAAAATGCTTTTTGAAAATTATGAAAACAACTTTTTGGTATTTTTTAAAAATTGGGTTGATTTCAGAAAACAAAATTCCAAAAAAGAAATTTGGAAAACAGTTTGTCAAAAAAGTTTTTGCTATTTTTGAAAAAATATTTGGAAATTAAATAAAAAAGGAAGTTGAATAGAAAAATAACTTGAATAAAAATGGAAGTTAAATAAAAATAAAAATGGAAGTTCCATAAAATTAAAAACGGAAGTTCATTAAAGAAACCACTGTACCTCTACGATCTATTTGGAAATTAAATAAAAAATGAAGTTTAATAGAAAAGTAGATTGAATAAAAATGGAAGTTGAATAAAAAGAAAAGTGAAAGTGGCATAAAATTAAAAATGGAAGTTCAGTCCAAGAACCAGTATACCTTAACGATCTATTTGGAAATTAAATAAAAAAGGATGTTGAATAGAAATAAAAATGGAAGTCGCCGAAAATTAAAATTGGAAGTTCATTCAAGAAACCACCGTACCTTAACCATCTATTTGGAAATTAAATAAAAAAGGAAGTTGAATAGAAAATTAACTTGAATAAATATGGAAGTCGAATAAAAATAAAAATGGAAGTTGCAGAAAATTAAAAACGGAAGTTCATTCAAGAAACCAATGTACCTTAACGACCTATTTGGAAATTAACTAAAAAAGGAAGTTTAATAGAAGAGTAAATTGAATAGAAATGGAAGTTGAATAAAAATAAAAATTGAAGTTACAGAAAATTAAAAATGGAAGTTCTATCCAGAAACCAGTATACCTTAACGATCTATTTGGAAATTAAATAAAAAAGGAAGTTGAATAGAAAAATAACTTGAATAAAAATGAAAGCTGAATAAAAATAAAAATGGAAGTTCAATAAAATTAAAAATAGAAGTTCATTAAAGAAACCACAATACCTTAACGATCTATTTAGAAATTAAACAAAAAAGGAAGATTAATTGAAAAGTAAATTGATTAAAAATGGAAGTTGAATAAAAATAAAAGTGAAAGTTTCATAAAATTAAAAATGGAAGTTCAATCCGGAAACCAGTATATCTTAACGATCTATTTGGAAATTAAATAAAAAAGGAAGTTGAATAGAAAAGAAACTTGAATAAAAAAAGAAGTTGAATAGAAATAAAAATGGAAGTTGCAGAAAATTAAAATTGGACGTTCATTCAAGAAAACCACTATACCTTAACGATCTATTTGGAAATTATATAAAAAAGGAAGTTGAATAAAAAAATAATTTGAATAAAAATGGAAGTCGAATAAAAATGAAAATGGAAGTTGCAGAAAATTAAAAATGGAAGTTCATTCAAGAAACCACTATACCTTAACGATCTATTTGGAAATTAAATAAAAAAGAAAGTTGAGTAGAAAAGTACATTGAATAAAAATGGAAGTTGAATAAAAATAAAACTGGAAGTTCAATCTAGAAACCACTATACCTTGACGATCTATTTGGAAATTAAATAAAAAAGGAAGTTGAGTAGAAAAAGAAACTTGAATAAAAAAGGAAGTGAAATAAAAATAAAAATGGAAGTTGCAGAAAATTAAAAATGGAAGTTAATTCAAGAAACTACAATAACTTAACGATATATTTGGAAATTAAATAAAAAAGGAAGTTGAATAGAAAAATAACTTGAATAAAAAAAGAAGTTGAATAAAAATAAAAATGGAGGTTGTAGAAAATTAAAAATAGAAGTTCATTAAAGAAACCACTATACCTTTACGATTTATGTGGAAATTAAATAAAAAAGGAAATTTAATAGAAAAATAAATAAAAATAAAAATGAAAGTTGCATAAAATTAAAAATGTAAGTTTAATCCAGAAACCATTATACCTTAACGATCTATTTGGAAATTAAATAAAAAAGGAAGTTGTGTAGAAAAAAAATTTGAATAAAAAAGGAAGTAAAATAAAAATAAAAATGGAAGTTGCAGAAAATTAAAAATGGAAGTTAATTCAAGAAACCACTATATCTTAACGATCTATTTGGAAATTAAATAAAAAAGGAAGTTGAATAGAAAAATAACTTCAACAAAAATGGAAGCTGAATAAAAATAAAAACGGAAGTTCTATAAAATTAAAAATGAAAGTTTATTAAAGAAACCACTATACCTTAACGATCTATGTGGAAATTAAATAAAAAAGGAAATTTAATAGAAAAGTAAATTGAAAAAAAAATGGAAGTTGAATAAAAATTAAAATGGAAGTTGCAGAAAATTAAAAATGGAAATTCATTCCAGAAACCAGTATACCTTAACGATCTATTTGGACATTAAATAAAAAAGGAAGTTGAGTAGAAAAGTAACTTGATTGAAAGAGGAAGTTAAATAAAAAAAAATAGAAGTTGCAGAAAATTAAAAATGGAAATTCATTCTAGAGACCACTATACCTTAACGATCTATTTGGAAATTAAATAAAAAAGTAGTTGAGTAGAAAAGAAACTTGATTGAAAAAGGAATTTAAATAAAAATAAAATTGGAAGTTGCAAAAAATTAAAAATGGAAGTTCATTCAAGAAACCACTATACCTTGACCATCTATTTGGAAATTAAATAAAAAAGGAAGTTTAATAAAAATAAAAGTGAAAGTTGCATAAAATTAAAAATGGAAGTTCAATCCAGAAAACAGTGTACCTTAACGATCTTTTTGAAAATTAAATAAGAAATGAAGTTGAATAAAAAAGAAATTTGAATAAAAAAAGAAGTTGAATAGATATAAAAATGGAATTTGCAGAAAATTAAAAATGGAAGTTCATTCAAGAAACCATTATACCTTAACGATCTATTTGGAAATTAAATAAAAAAAGAAGTTTAATAGAAAAGTAAATTGAATAAAAATGGAAGTTGAATAAAAATAAAAGTGAAAGTTGCAAAAAATTAAAAATAGAAGTTCAATCCAGAAACCAGTGTACCTTAACGATCTTTTTGGAAATTAAATAAGAAAGGAGGTTGAAGAGAAAAAAAACTTGAATGAAAAAAGAAGTTGAAAAGAGATAAAAATGGTAGTTCCAGAAAATTAAAAATGGAAGTTCATTCAAGATACCACTATACCTTAACGATCTATTTGGAAATTAAATAAAAAAAGGAAGTTTAACAGAAAAGTAAATTGAATAAAAATGGAAGTTGAATAAAAATAAAAATAAAAGTTTCATAAAATTAAAAAGGAAGTTCAATCCAGAAACCACTATACCTTAACGATCTATTTGGAAATTAAATAAAAAAGGAAGTTGAATAGAAAAATAGCTAGAATAAAAATGGAAGCTGAATAAAAATAATAATGGAAGTTCCACAAAATTAAAAATGGAAGTTCATTAAAGAAACCACTATACCTCAACGATCTATTTGGAAATTAAATAAAAAAGGAAGTTGAATAGAAAAATAGCTAGAATAAAAATGGAAGCTGAATAAAAATAATAATGGAAGTTCCACAAAATTAAAAATGGAAGTTCATTAAAGAAACCACTATACCTCAACGATCTATTTGGAAATTAAATAAAAAAGGAAGTTGAATAGAAAAATAGCTAGAATAAAAATGGAAGCTGAATAAAAATAATAATGGAAGTTCCACAAAATTAAAAATGGAAGTTCATTAAAGAAACCACTATACCTCAACGATCTATTTGGAAATTAAATAAAAAAGGAAGTTGAATAGAAAAATAGCTAGAATAAAAATGGAAGCTGAATAAAAATAATAATGGAAGTTCCAC